ATTTTAAAAATGATTTTATAATTATTTTATATACCTTAAAACACCAGAACTCAGAAATGATCCAATTAAATTATCTAATTAATCTAGTAACACGCTTGCACTAAACTCAAGTTACTGTATTAATGTATTAATTGGTCTTCTGAAATTTAAGTAACCAACAGCAGGTACTTTATGAGCAATCAATCCGCAAATTATCAATGTTGTTTTTGTTACCTTTGTTTGTCTTATCAGAATAGTACAGCACAGGAAATGTTAATAAGAAACATATAATTTGTTTAAACTTTTTATTTTGCCAATGCATCCATTAAAATAATTTGATTTTATGACTTATGTAAATCAGACTTAACATTAAAATATCATTAAAATATAATTCCACATAAAAATATGCAATTATGTAAGAGCCCTCAATACAACGCAACCAGCCAACAAAACATTAAGTGTAATATCAAAATTTCTACATTATGAATATCAAAAAGGCTATTAACAGGTAATTTCAGGTCATACTTTAATCTGTGGCATAACCTTTTTTATAAAACCATGATATGAAGCACATTATTTTAAATGATTTAAAATTTGGGTGCAATAGTAGCACAGTGGTAGCACCATGGGGTTAATGGGAGCACCACTGGTGCCTCACAGCACTGGGTCCCTGGCTTTAATTTCTTGCCAGGGAGAATGTGTATATTCTCCCCATGTTTGTGTAGTTTTATTCCAGATTTTCTGGTTTCCTGCATAGCCGAAAGACATACTGGTACGTTAATTGCCTTCTGGAAATTTGGCCCTGGTGTGAGTGTGCGTATCCATGTCTGTGTTTGCCCTACGATGGAATAGCATCCCATCCAGGGACGGATTTAAAACAGATTCAGAATTCTACTATGAAGTGACTGAACGTGTCAGACAAACCAGTGGAATACTACATTGAGAATGCTTGATACCCTCCAATGCAGCATGATTTGTTTTTGAATGCATGCAGCTACACATGTTGGGGCAACTATTGTCTTTCAGTGACACCTGGTGGGTGAAATGAAACTCAGGAGTTTCTAAATCTCCACTGAAGGCTTTACTGCAATGTGCTCTACAGTACATGCATGTGACCACTTTTCTGACTGGTCAAAAACATTACATCTGGGCAGAGTAAGTAAAACAAAAACAAATTTCAGTTTGCAACTTTAGTCTCAGATGAAAGATTTTGAACTGTTCTTTAATTTTTCATTCATACTATCCATTACAAATCTGTTGGTGATCAGGTCCTTTAGTTTTCCAAAGAGGAGTTTACGAGTGTGGTGTATTTTTTTATTCATAATAACCATCTGAAAAGAAACCAACACTTTCTGACCTAAATAAATGTTTCTTGAAAAGAAAGAAAAAAACATAGCCAAGTCCCTTCAATTTAATAAAACACTGAGGAAGAAATAAACCTAAGGAACAGAGCTGCACAAAGAGAATTTGCCTTGCCTTATCTTATTATTTTTTTTCAAAAGGCTTGCTAGTTTAGAATCAAATTCCTATTTACACTAGAGAATTAAGTTTTATTTAACATTGAGTCAGAAGTTCTACTCAGAATATTCTTCCCCACACTAGCATACAGTAGTTCCAAGTGATAGAATAATCAGTAAGAAAGCATATAATCATCAAAATACCACATGAATGAATGATGAACATCAGAAGAAACTTGGATTTGTGCTTTACCCTCTATGATCTTGTTTTCTGTGTTTCAATTTGACTTAGAGAACATTTGTTCATTGCACATTTACAGCTGTGCTCTGCTTTTGCATGATGTTGTCTTCATTAGAGGTAAAAAATAGATCTTCAACCATTATAAATAATGAACTATTTTTTTAATTCAGTTTTGGTATCATGAAAGTGTTAGAATATGTTTAATCTTCTGTTAAATATGTCAGGACGTATCACTTGTCAAGGAGAGTCCTTTCATAGTCTGGATTATACATCTTTAAAGACCTACCCAATCCATCCATGCCCACTTATGGATTTAAAGCACAACGCAACAAGTGTACTGAAAAAAGTGGAATGACGTTTCTACCTCATTAAGGATGCAAAATAGACTTACTGTAATAGGAATTGTATGTTTTTTGCAATTTTAAGGAAGAAGCTATAAAAGATAAACAACAAATATGATTTAATTCATACTTTTAATTGATAACACATTTTAAAAATAATTACCTAGTTTTTAACCCACTCAATCTGTTTTTTGAATATGATTGATCTGTAATGTAAAGTGCAGATACTGTATGGTATTGTTAAGGTTTTTTTAATAATAAAAATATAAAAGGAATATAAACAAGTAGTAAAAAATTACACCATGAAAATAGTAACGGTGTCCTGATTGACAAAATCAAGAATATATTATTTTAGCACTAGCATTAGAAAGTTAAGTGTGGATGTAGTATATGCAAGTGATTAATATTGATTCACATATTTTATTATGACTTTTTGTAAACAGATATATATATTTTGTTTCTCTATAGTATGTGTCTGTATAACAGACAAGAGCATGTTGCAAGACAATGTAGAATTCTCCCATAGAAGGGGACCTGGACTTTTGGCCTAGTGGAGTTTCGAATGGCTACAGGGAGTAGCACTATATACTGTAGCTGTGAACATTCCAAAAGCTGTGACCTAATCTTTGCAGAGTAGTCCTGTAAGTTCTGGAAAGCCCAAATCCATCAATTTTTTAGCTGCTTTATGCAATTCAGGGTCGAGTGGAGCTGAAGACTATCTCTGCAAGCAACAGGTGCAAGATAGGACACACCATGGACAAAACACTAATTCATCACAAGGCACACACTCACACCAGGGACAGTTTTCGCAGAAGGCAATTAACCTACTAGTATGACTATGGGAGGAAACCAGAGCACATGGAGAAAAGCACGCAAACACAGGGAGAGTATTCAAACCACACAAATACTGTAGTACACCAGATTGAGAACTGGAGCCAGGGCTTCAACACTGCAAGGCAGCAATGCTAACCACTGTGCCATCATGTCATCCAGCCACAAGCCAGTTAATCTTATAGATGAGCTGTTTATGATTGGTAACACCTGTAAGCTATTAGAAGCAATTTGTTCTATTAAATGAACTTTGGTTCTAGCTTCAATTTTAGTCCCAAATGATCTCTAAATTACTTAAATGCCTATTTAACAATCACAAAGGAATTGTTCCATACCTTTACAAATTGGTGATGTACAGTAATAATGACCTAAAAATCTGCTGGACTGCATTTGAGAAGCCTGGCTTAGAGCTACAGTACAACCTTCACAATTGTTAAGTGCTTAATTTGAAATGTTTTGAGTTACATTAAAAGCAGAATTTGAATATTCAACATACATTTTCTACTCATACATAATGTACAGAAGAATAGATCACCCTGCAACTCACAAGTGACAACCCCCCTGAAGCGAAGCAGGTGTGACTCTTGTGAGTACCTGGATGGGAGACCTCCTGGAAAAACTAAGGTTGCTGCTGGAAGTGGTGTTAGAAGGGGCAGTAGGGGGTGCTCACCCCAGGGCATTTCTCAAAAACAGTAGGGGTGTTACTCCAGCATCCTGGCCAAATTTTACCTTTGGCTTTTAACAGTCATGG